ACATCGTGCGAGTAAACGGCGGTCGGCTGTTCCGTTTTGCTCTACCTCCCCTCGATTCTCTCGCAACGATTGGCTGAATGTGTGATGACGCAATCATTTGTGACATAAAATCTAAAACGTCATCATTTGTGCCGTAAAATTCCCGATTATCAACGATTTCTTGCAATCGAAAAGGTTCTTTTATGATGCTGGAACTTAAAAAAAAGCATTATATGCACAAATGAGGACTCCCTTGTCAGTCGCCCAAATGGCCAATGTAACTGGACAACTTAACAAGGTCAAATAACCGTGAGACACGCATCCTTTCGACGAATGATTCCGGTGTTGTCGGAAATGCGCACATGCGTATGGTACTACAGAAGCGGCAATGCATTTGCGCAAGATCGCTGAAACTTCAAAATCGTTCATCAAAACGATTCAAACGAATCGTGTCTAAGAGCGCTCCTGCTAAATTTTCTTTCCTAATTTTCTTGAATTGCATTCGTTCATTCGAAGTTTTCAAGGTGTAAGGTCCCCATCAAAAGATGAATTGCGTCAGGAACAAATTAATTATTTTTCAGCAAGAACATCATGTCACACAAGGGGATGATAACCGCCATTTTCCATGTCTATTAGTCTCCAAGCGAAAGGTAATTTAGGAGACTCAAAATAATGAATGTCTTCCCCCCCCCTCGCCTTTTACCACCTCAGAAAAGCCGATTTGAGGACTTCCCTGCACATTGGTAACAATCGGCTGCGATGTCTCAGTGGAAACTTCGCTGCTTCCTCAGTGTTGTTCCTGAGCGGGAGGATCTATTAATTGATTGATTGTTTTAGTGATTCCGGGCACGTCTACAACCAAGGTGATTAATCCCTTATGTGTAGTGCATGGCTTTTGCGCGGGGAGCGGCGGCGATGCGTAAGTTGCTAACGGTTAGCGTACTGGGCTGTTGTACCCAAGTTGGCGGGTTCAAACCCGATCGAAGCCGTGGATTTTTAAAGGCGAAAAAATCCTTCGTACGCCTTCCTTCGGAGGGGAAGTAAAGCCGGCTGTCCCATGTTCGTAGATTTACTTGCATGTAAAAGATCCTCAAGCCTAAATGACACCTCTGAGCTAAATTCAAATCGCCTGTTTCTCGCCCAAGAAATACCTCCTTTCTCTCCTAGTTGGTGAAAGGAGCGTAGCGAAATTTGCGTTGTCAGACGGAAGAGCGGGCCAAGTCTCGCCACGTAAAATAAGGCAAATTCAATTCAATTCAATTCAATTTAATCTTTCCCTCCCTGAATGGCGTGATCCGGCGCTGACCTACCGTCGGATAGCCGGGTTTTCCCCAACAAGGAATCGCCCACCAGCGGGGCACCGAGCCCAACCGGGACAAGCTCTGATCTGCCGACCGGTCTCCCGGCATGTGTAGTGCTTGTTAGTGTAAGTGTGTGTGTGTAAGGGGAGAGGATAGGACAAGATAAAGGTAGGAAAGATCGCGCGCAGCTCGTGGCATGTTTGATAGGGTACTACTCTGGCATTCGCCGGGTGTTGATGGGAGAAACCACGGAAAACTACCGATCAGAGCAGCCGGTCGCTAGAATTCTCCTTCAGACAGTGACAGAATTACACCTAGCTGACAAGCTAGTGTCAAAAATTTTGCCACCATTGGAAGTGCAGCCCTAGGACCTTCCGGTCAGAGGGACTGCAGTGACATCAGTAGATGCTCTGAGCCACCTCTCCCGGTCGTGATGTTCTACTTTCCGAGTCCCGTCAGTGACAGTATTTACACCCTCGCTACACACTTGGGACGAATTCGAGCACTTTTTGGAGTAGATTACTAGTGGCCGGCAACTCTGATGGGTACATTTCCGTGTGTTTGCTAATCTATACCATGTGAACGGTCGAGCATTCCCTTGTACGGGCCATGCACCGTGTATGGTCCTTCCTCATTTTTGTGCCCTAGTCCCTCTTAACACACACGCTTACATTTTTTTTGGCACAACACTACCACTCGTGTAGACACTTTCGGTGGGTACCTCATATGGAAGATAAACCTGGAGGGAAAAATCCCTCAAGCTAAACAGCAAATCAGCGCATGATCTGAAGTTCCAGCCGAGGCGAACACCGCCACCTCCAGGGATATAACATGTACTGTACATACGGGCCAAATGACCATAGTAGATTATAATCAAACAATCGCGTAGCGAGATCCCCTATTGGAAGGCTCAGTGGTCTTCTCCTGAACAGGAGGAGCAAAGAGTGGTCAAGTATTACCGAAAGAAAATGGAGGCGGGACGGCGAGCACAAAATGGCGGCTCTTTCTCGTGGCCTTGAGCTCAGTCGCCTGTGGGTACTATAACCACACCGGAGGTTCCGCACTGAATAAAACTGGAGTGCGAGAGGTAACACTGTCGCCGTTTAATGTTTTTTTGTGCTGGGAGCGGTTAACAACATGTTTCCTGCAAATCTTTCAATCTATATCAGATACATTCCACCGATTCCATCGGAATTTATGCCATAACACTTTGTTGACAAACATGGGAATCAAGAATTACGGAGGTTCAGTACGCAAATGACCGGATAATTTTGCTAAAATTAAAACACGA